GCTACATCCCGCGGCGCTGGATGTAGCGCCCGGGCCCGCGGCCCCCAGCAGAGCAGCCAGCCAGGCCGTAAGTGTCCCGCGGGTGGGCGGGGCGCGGGCCCTGCAGGCTCTGGAGGACTGCCCGGGAGTGGCCCGCCCCTGGATCGCCGCTCACCGCCCGGCCCTCCGTCAAGTCCGCGGTAAACATTTCCGGCCCCTCCCACTGCGCGCCGCCTCCGTTCGGGGGGCTGCTCGCCGCGGTCTGAGCCCAGCAGTCCCGGAGTGCTGCCTTCGCAGCCGCGCGGGAGACGGCCGCGTTCCAGCCCTGCTGGCGACCCCCGGAGTTGAGCCTGCGAGTTGGGTACGGGAGCACCGGCCCCGGGTGGTCGGGAACCCTAAGGCCCCACCGCCATCCGCAGGTCAAACGTGACGGGGAACCCTCCTGGATAGGGTTGGAGGGGAGGTTGATGGACAGTCGACAGGCCTAAGGTAATACTCAGCTAGAATGTAAACAGATGCTGAAAGTGTTGCGAAAGAACCAGATTTCATCTCCGAAATCTAGGATTGATAGATGGGTTTTTGTTTGAGAATTTGGGTCTTCTAGCACTTGCTTTTAAGAAAATAATAATAATAATAATTTTTTTTTAAGAAAATAAAGTGGCTGTCCCTCTGTTTCTGGTGCTACGTGGGTGAAGAAACTGGACGAATTTCCGTTTACATAGTTTCGGATGTCAGCGGAGCACTAAGAGGCCATGGGATCAGATACATTAATCAGATTATTTCCCTCGAGTATTTAGCAGACGGGCCAAAGAACCCAGCAATTGCAGTGCTGTGGTAAATCAAACGAAGATAGGAATGGGTGATTCTTTCCCTAACCAAAGTAAGGTTGGGATGTGTTTACTGCCTTTGCCTTCTCATAGTGCTAGGGAGACGGCGATGGTGCATCCGCTGTTCCTGGGGGTTACAGCAGCACTTTGCTGCAGGCACTCAGATAGGATGGCGCTGAATAGATTGCAATGTCAGGGTTCCCGGCTTGTAGCCACTACATTTCTTTATTCTAGAAGTAGTTTCTGTGTTCTATTTAGTGATGGGTCCTTGAGAAAGCGGTCTTAAAATGCTGGTATTATCTGTGAAGCATTGGACTTTGGTGTGGACCTTCACAAAGCTGCTCCTACTTGCAAAGTCGAGTCTCAGGTTGTGTTCACAGTAGCCCAGAAATAACACGATTCCTGAGGAAGAAGTAAATAAGTGACTACCACCTGCATGTCAGAAAGAATCCTAGGAAGCAGCCTTGAGTTAATAGGCCCTCACTGCCCGTGGACATAGTATGCCACCTTCAATAGGATGGTAGGCTAACTTCTGTCTCTTCGGGGTGACTCGTTTTGTTTTTCTAAGCCTCCCGGATGGAAAAATGGATTATTCACTGCTCTGGGTGTCATGCTTCTCCACGTCCTCGTTTAGATTACTGTGCCTTCCTGGATGCCCTGCTACTATCTGTACCTATCAAATCTTAAATACTTCTACAAAGCTTTCTTCATCATTTCAACTAAAGTGATGCTTCTCAGTTTCTCCAGCACTTGTTAGCTTTAGAGTGATGCTATTAGAAAATTATTTGATTAACACCCCCCTTTTTTAGGGGTGGTTCGAGACAGGGTTTGTCTGTGTAAACTCTCTTTGTAGACCAGGCTGGCCTCAGCCTCTAACTCACAGGAGATCCACCTGCCTCTGCCTCCTGGATACTGGGATCAAAGGCATGTGCTACTATGCCCTGCTAATTTTGTTTTAAATTTTAAAAATATGTGTACAACTGTCTAGCTTGCATGTATGTGTGTGCACCATGTGCGTGCCTGGTGCCCACAGAAGGTGAATCGGATCCCTCAGAACTGAGCCAGCATGCGAATGCTGGATATTAAGCCAGGGTCCTCTGGAAAGCAACAAGTGCTGTAACCACCAAGCCAACTCTCACTTGACT